GTTCCACCCAACCAGGAGCCACAGCAGTAAGAGGACAAAGTACACACAGTACAGTTGGCGGCACTGGAGGGCTGAGCCAGATGGAGCAGGATGTGTTGGCAAAGCAAAGAGCAGCTGGGCCTAGGACTATGGGTGCCACCCAGCCAGGAGCCATGGCTGTAAGTGTACCAAGTACGCACAGTGCAGTCAGGAGTACTGGAGGCCTGAGCCAGATGGAGCAAGATGTTTTGGCAAAGCAAAGAGTAGCTGGAACCACTGGTGGAATGCAACCAGGTGCTGTGGCAGTAGGTCGAGGGCATAGAGATGATAATGGTGGCAGCGCAGGTTTGAGTCAGGTGGAAAGGGATATTTTGGCCAAGCAACGTGGTGGTGGTGGACCTATAACGGTTGGTTCCGCTCGGCCAGGTGCCGTATCTGTTACAGGCGAGACTCCCCACAGCACTGGAAGTGGAGGCTTGAGTCAAATGGAACAAGACATATTATCAAAGCAACGTGGAGCCGGACCTAGGACCATTGGTGCTACCCAGCCAGGTGTTGTTTCTGTTGCAGCTCCAAACACCACTCTTAGCCAAGTCGAACAGGATGTGATGGCGAAGCATCGAGGATCAAGGCTTCCCAGTGCTATTCGTCCAGGTGCTGTTGCTGTTGCGAGTGCCGGTGGCCTGAGTCAGGTTGAGCAAGACATTCTAGCCAAGCAGAGAGGCCCACCAGGAAACGGAACAAGACCTGGGGCTGTATCTGTTCAAGATGCTGGTAGAGGCTTGAGCCAAATGGAGCAGGACATTCTATCCAAACAAGGAGCTGCCCCCTTGAATGCAAGAAATGCACCTGTTGCTGGTGCACATCTTAGTCAAACAGAACAGGACATCTTGGCAAAACAAAGAGGTCGTGGTCAAGCAGGGATGGCTTCAAGCCTACCTGGTGCTGTATCTCCTGGATCATCTGGAGCTTTTGCGAGCTCGAGTGGTGGTGGGCAGTTAAGTCAAATTGAGCAAGATGTGCTGTCCAAGCAGAGGGGTGCCTCAACTTCCGATGGCAGGCCTGGTGCTATCATGGTTTCTGGCGGAGGCACTTTGAGCCAGATGGAACAAGATATCTTGTCCAAGCGCAGACAATTTCCTGAGGGAGGAACCCCAGGTCCTGGTGCAATTGCAGTTTCATCAGTTGACACAGCAGGAGAACAGTTGAATCGACTTGAGCAAGACTTGCTGGCAAAGCAGAGAGGAGCCCCATTGTTTGTTGATCAAACCAGCAATAATTTAAGTCAAACAGAGCAAGATGTCCTGGCCAAACAAGGTGGAAATGTTGGCACATCAAGGCCTGGTGCTATGTCAATTCCTGCCAGCGGCCAGTTGAGTCAAATCGAGCGGGACATCCTGGTAAAACAGCAAGGGAACAAGTTACGTCCAAGTGACTCTGGACAGGCTGGATCCAGCCTCAGCCAAACTGAACAGGACATTCTGTCAAAGCAAAGAGCTTCCACTGGGTCACATATGTCGCGGCCAGGAGTTGTTGCTGCTGAAGGTGGCTTGAGCCGAATGGAGCAGGACATTCTTGCCAAACAAGGCGCTGGAAGTTCAAGTGGGCTTCCTGGAGCTGTTGCAGTGATGTCTGGAGGTGGTGAACTGAGCCAAATGGAGCAGGATATCCTTGCAAAGCAGAGCGCAGGTACTTCATCTGGACTGGGCCAGATGGAGCAAGATATTATATCAAAGCAACAAGCCAGCAGTGGGAGCCGTGGTGGGGTTGCTGCTTCTGGTGCTCAACTCAGTCAAATGGAACAAGACATCCTGGCGAAGCAATCATCACAGGGACCAGTTGGTTCGACCGTGGTTGGCGCTGTTTCAACCTCCGGTAATCAACTTAGTCAAATGGAACAAGATATACTAGCCAAACAAGGCGCTCGTGGCAACCCCTCCGCAGCAACGGGTTCCGCTGAAGCCCAGTTGAGCCACTTTGAACAAGATCTTCTGTCAAAACAAGGGCTACAGGGAGCGCCAGCTTCGGTCCCAGGAGCAGTAGCGACATCAGGGGCCCAATTGGGCCAGATGGAACAGGATATTTTGGCGAAACAAGGAGCATATAGTCAAGACACCGGGGCTGCAGGGCTTAGTCAAATGGAAAGAGATATTCTAACAAAGCAGGCATCCCGCCCAGGGCATGTCCCGGCTGTTGCAACCGGTTCAATGTTGTCTCAGTCCGAAGTAAACCTTGCTGCAAATGGAAGGCAGCTTGTACCAGGCGAAGCAACAGCAACCGCCGGGTCGGCTGCACTAAGGAGTATGGAAGCGGATCTCGTCAGCAAGTCTCGGGCTCTTCCGCATGTTCCTTCCTCCAGTCCTGGTGCTGTCAACAGTCGACATCCCGAAAGCGGGTTGAGCGACTTGGAACAAGAGATCCGAGCCAAGAGCGACCTTGCGCACACAAATGACTACCCTCCAGTTGCTTCGTTACCCGGAAGAGGAAGCGGCGAAAACGTCAACGGCCTTCATGCTCTGGAAGCGGATATTCGACAAAAGAACGGAATGCGTCCACCGTCACCCCGAATGCCGCCTCAAATGCCCCCTCACATGGATCACCACAGTGTCCAGGGTCCTCAAAGCTACGTCCATTCTGATTATGGCCATAACGATTATGGACATTCTGACTACGGGCATCCCGCTGACTATGGGAGCAATCCTGAGTATGGGCATGCTGCTGGCTTCGAGCATCCTGCGGATTATGGGCATGACGCTGACTATGGACGACCTCTACAGTCGCATCAACCCATGTCACACCCGGACCTCACACCGCAAAACGATTCGGGGCCGCCCCCAGACTCCGTGCCCGCTCCAATGTCCGTGCCGTACGATTTCTCCGACGAACCTGAAGTGGCTCCTGCTCCTCAAAACGACGCTCAAGATGAAATGCCAACCATTGAAGTACCTGATGGGGGAATCGTAGCATACGTGCCCGCGGCAGTCGTGGAAGCTGCCGGGGTTGCCGTTGTAATGAGCTCAGAGGAGGAGGAAAGACTGGACAAGCAGAAGAGACAGAAGTACATTTGTGGTGGGGCAATCTGCGTCTGCTTGATTGCGATCGCTATCATTATTCCAACAGTAATCTCGGCCACGAGCGACAGCACACCCGACCCTGTCGATCGGCCTCCCTCGATGGCCCCGTCGCTTGCGCCATCCTCAGCGCCATCAGGCGCCCCCACGAGCAGCGCATTTGCTGAGTTCTTGGAAGATATTCTGAAACCGTTGAATGTATCGTCTGAGGAAGTGTTTGACAACGTCAATTCACCCCAGTACAAGGCGGCACTCTGGTTGATCTTGGAAGATAGCGAAGATTACTGGTCACAAAATGATGTAAGCCCTGGAAATTTGCAGGTCATCCAGCGGTATGCTCTTGCAACTCTTCACTATGCGACTGACGGAGTGAATTGGAGATTTTGCGGAAAGGACCCGCTAAATTGCCCCACCATTGCATGGCTCTCACCGGTTCATGAATGTACCTGGGCATACGTTACGTGCAATGACAACGGTTTTGTACAAATGCTTAATTTCGGTGAGTTCATGGATTCTGATATCAATCTTTGCGATACTGCTCATTTCTCACGGCACTGCTAACTGTTTCTGCCAGAAACGGAAACCATCACGAACGAATTATACGGGTTTTTGCCCCGTGAAGTGTCTCTTCTGTCTGATCTGAAGCGCCTTCTGGCTTCCCAGAATGAGATCGAAGGAAACCTTGAGGACCCTTTCCATGGGCTCACTCTGCTCGATACAGTTGTGCTCGACAAGAACAAGATTCAAGGGACAATACCCGCCGATGTCTTGGCTCAGAATCCCAACTTAGGTTCGTGATGGATTCAACCACAAATTGTGCAAGATGCCGAAGCGAACAAGCTGACATCCTTTGGCATTTTACTCTAATTTCCAGGTGTCCTGAACGTAGCTCTCAACCGAATGACAGGAACTCTTCCAGTTGAACTAGCAGGCACCAAGCTCTCGCACCTCCAGCTACATGAGAATGATTTTGTTGGGACCATACCTGAAGAGATTGGCAACAATACCAATTTTGGTAAGCATAGCGGATTGCTGTCGTGCATGCTGTGGCCAACGCCAGCTTATCTTTTGCCTTCTTCATTATACAGAGATTCTGGATCTTCAGGGCAATCGATTAGAGGGGACACTGCCCTTGAGCTTCTACAACCTCACATCCCTGAAGGTGTTTGCTGTCAACAACAACACAAAGCTTACAGGGACGATCGACTCAAGTGTTGGTCAGCTCAAGGCTCTTTCCAAATTTGAGGCTGGAGAGACGTCATTGCAGGGAAGCATCCCTGCTGAGTTGTATCAGTTGACACGTCTCACAGACGTTGTATTTAGCAACTGCAACATGACAGGACCACTCCTAGAGGATATCCAACTGCTGAGCAGTACTTTGAATGTCCTAAATCTTGACACGAACACTTTCACTGGCCCTCTCCCACAGGCACTTGATGTCTTGACGGCCTTAGAATCCCTTCATCTGGAGAACAATCAATTCACGGGAACAATATCAAACAAAGTTTGTGCTGAGCGAGGGATTGGATTTCAAAAGCTCTTTGAATTGTTTGCTGATTGCAACATTGAGTGCACCTGTAATGACAACCAGGATTGCATCAGCGGTAGGTGAAGATAGCTGTGCTCCCTTTTCCCCTCAATTCAATACCATGCTTGATTCGAAAACCTTTAGCTAGACTATCGTTGACTTTTTGTCTTGGCTTGATATGTAGACTACTTTGGAGTAAGATGTTGACAAGGATTATGTCACAGACGGACTCGCCCTGCTCAACTGACCCCAGTTTTGGTTGTTCGGACGGAAACCTCGTCCTCAGTTTTCGTTTGTGGAACCAAATTACCTACTGGCTAGCTAGTAGTACTGGAAAGTGTGGCAAAAGTTGAATTGGCGATGAAAAGTGTTGAATTTTCAGCTGGATTTCATTTTTCAACAGTGTTGAATTTCAAAACTGTTGAAAAAACTGTTGAACAAAGTGTTGAATATATATTCAACACTATATTCAACAGTAATTCAACAGTTTGCTAGTTATAGTAGTGCATTATTCAACACTTTATTCAACAGTAATTCAACAAGTGTTGAATTAGATTCAACAGTTTTTTCAACAGGTGTTGAATCAAAATTCAACACTTTTGACCCAATTCAACAGTTGAAGTGTTGAATTCCCCATGTCCCTCGCCAAAAATTCAGCTTTTGCCACACTTTCCCGTACCGGTATAGCAGCTTGAGCTCATCAATCATCAATCCTCTACTAGCTAGCTTATGCATAGTAGCCCTATAGCTATCTCTGCTATTGATCCAGAAGGTGTCTATCTAATGCAATAAGTATGGTATATTTGGTTGGCAATGGGTGTTCTAATCTATCTAATCTGTTAATAGCTATCTACTCGCCGTCGTTTTGCGTGCCGACATAGGAATCACCACTAAAACACTAGGAAATAACAAAGGAGGAAGGAATCCAACGAATTGGAGGATCCACTCTCCTCTTGTGCATTGTCGTGTAGCCTCCTCTTGTTACCTTTTCAACTACTCGACTCGACGACAATGCGTTCAGGCTGTTGGTGGGGCTTGAGTTAACCTCCTCCGTTCAGGTTGGTAATATGGCTTGAGTTAGTCTCCTCTTAGTAGAGGTGCGATCGATCGTAATTGAATAATTTTTAAAAGAACAATTGACGGCCGAGCTCGGATTTCCCTCCTGAATACCATAGAAATCCAATGAGGGAGAGAAGTCAGCGCTGTACCTTCAATTAACACTCTTGATAATAGGCTTACCTCATTGCGATCGATCGATCGATCGATCGGCCGATTGGATAAAGAACTCCTCCTACCGGTATACGTATACCACTCTTGTCAGCCAAGCTTGGATTTCTCTCCTGTTTGCCATAGAAATTCAATGAGGGAGAGAAGTCAGTGCTACGCCTTCAATAATAACACACTTGATAATAGACTTACCCGTAAAAGCTAGTAGCAGGAGGAGCGAGATCCCTCTCAACTGAGGCTGTCCATGGACGCCATTGTGCGGTTTTTGTGGATGGAGGAGGAATGAGAGAAAGCCTGTCACGTGAACGTGAAGTCTGTTTGAATTCTTGACTGTGAAAAAAGAGTACTCACCAAAGCATTAAAGGTTCGGGTGTTGTCGAAAAGGTTGAGGTTATTGTGGGTTTCGGTTGAACGTTATCTGTCCGTTTGCGCAGGGCGACACCGTCTGTGTTCTAATCTGTACCTGTTGACAGAAGAAAGATGCTCGAGATTATGTAGACTACTCAGTAGTCGCCAATTTAACCTGCAGGAGGCTGTACTGGCATCGGTTGCTCTTCCGTTCAGGCTGTGTGGCGCCCCCATCACCCATCTGCTGGGATCTGGGATTTCGGCGAAGTTTCGAGCGGAGAGCTACATGTACATGTACTACTCAGTCGCTAGCTAGCTAGAGTAGTACCTAGCTAGTAGAGTAGTAGTAGTAGCAAGTAGGCTCGACTCGGGGGATGAGCAAACTTGCCCATGGCACTGCTTTGCATTGGATACTACTGTATTGATTCAGTTACCACTACGTTGAATAAATGCAGCAACTGACTAAATTTTGAAGCTGAGGGTACATTTGAACGAAAATTAATTTGAATATTCTACTTTGGCTGGATATGTTTGATGGATTGCATTCGATTGCATTGAATTGGATTGGATTGCATTGTGCTACTATTGAGGCTGCCGAAGGCATGAGCCTCAACGAGTTTGGAATCATTCGGCTGTTGGAAACAATGTGTTGCCAAGCTAGCTAGTTCTGCTACTGCTGCTAGCTGGATAGAGCCCATTTCTAGCTAGCTGGGTAATAACAGTTGGCTGCTTTGGTAGCTATCTAGCTAGCTAAAGATAGGTCTTGCTACTAGCTAGCTAGGTAATGACAGTTGTGCTTGGGAGCTATGGTACAGTGCCAATTAGCCAGTAGCTAGTACATACTCTATTATTTGTTCCTCTTTTGCAATTTGCATTTGGCTAGGCTACCATTATTAGGGTACAGCTAAAAACTGTGACACACAAACGGACAACGGACAAACGGACAAACGGACAAACAGACAAACATCCAAACAAAATCACAAGGGCCCTAACCAAGTTGAGGGCTATTTACTATATAAATAACAGTACTTTCATGAGTCCAATTCAATCCAATTCAATTCAATTCAAACCAATCCAATTAAAGTCATTTTCTAGCCAAAAATAGAATTATGTTTTTTCAACGGATTTTCGAGTTAGTTACCAACTGTGTGCAGTACCAGTAATTGGAGTTCAAACATAAACTATCCATTGCTGCGGTATTCACTGGAGTAGACTACAGCCCTATAGCAACATTTGCCCATCCCCTTGACTCAAGTAGTCTAATGGAGGTAGGAGGCAGACAGCGAGGCGCCACCGCCAACGGAGTCCTACAAAGAACAACTGACACTACTCTAGCTAGTATTCAAAAAGCAAGCCGAGAATCGCATTCCTCTGCAAATTTGGTTTCACTTCTCTCAAACACTGCTTCCGAACACTTCTCCTGAACACTTCCCCCGAACACTTTTAGTGTTGTATTAATACCACTTCGAGAACCACTGTCCCCGTGTCACAGAAATTGCCCCACCATAACACAGAAATTGGTCTCATATAGACCTCAGTAGAAAGCATACGGAGCGGAAATCAATTTTTGTGTCATGAAAATCAACACTCTCACCGGACCAGTTAGTCGTGCACGAAAATGGACCACTCTCCAGGTTACTTAGAGGTCGTGCCCCAATTTCTGTGACATGAAAACTTGATAGCCATAGCAAAAAACCGGTGTTCTCATCCTGCAGTCAATTGTTCTTGAAGTGGTAGTATTACTTTACAGAAATCGTCAACGAAAATTCTCTGCAAAATACTAAAAGACTGTTCACTGATAATTCAAAAAGTAATCTAATACAACACTAAAAGTGTTCGGGGAAGTGTTCAGGAGAAGTGTTCGGAAGCAGTGTTTGAGAGAAGTGAAACCAATTTGCAGAGGAATGCGATTCTCAGCTTGCCTTTTGTTCTGAATTATGAGCTTTGAATTGACAGGACGAAATATGGCGCCGAAACTTGTAGCGAATTTTGAAGATAGGTTTTGGAGGGCTAAATTTTTCAAATATTATTGCCACATCCTCTAAGTATTTCAAATGCACGTATCCTTACTGCATATGTTTTATAATGTGCATTTATAGTTTTACCAGTCACTAAATTATCACCAAAACACATAATGAAATTTCGTCACATTTTATGGGCTGACAGTTTTGTGAGTACGTCAATCTTGGATATTACCAATTCACTTAAGTGCAAAACTGCTTGTCCTAAATGTTCCAAATATATATTCTTCATGACTCAAGAGTTGTGTTACAAGTCTTCTCTGATACATCTCTCCAACATTCTCCAACAATACTCACTCAGCCTTAGGATCCGAAAAATCGTCCAAAATTATGGGCTCACAAAACATTTTGCTCATCATTCTTCATCTTCTCTTGGCAACAGAATTTTCCTTTACTGTTTCTTCTACAATGTCCAAGTCTCAAGTTGTGGCAGTTCTATATGAGAAGGATCTCCTCCATGGATTGTCTAATTCTGATGATATTTGCCAGTTCTGCAATGACAGTGTCTATCTCTATCAGTCTCCTGTTCTTACTTGCAAGTTCCACCAAGATTTCTCCTTCATCGCATGTGTCTACAACGAAACGTTGTCCCGAGCAGTTCACAATTGGTTCTACTCAAGTTGCTTCCAAAATTCCTCGTGCATCTCTTTATACAACAAATATGACTCCATTTGGTCTTATCAAGACTAGTCCATCTGTTCCTGTCCAAGCCTTTTCACAATGGAATTGCCCCCAACAAAAGCTATCAAACCAAAATTCCTTTCCTGCCTCTTTCTACTATGTCTTCACATTTGCCCCCCCCATACTACCACTACTACTGAGGGTGAAAAGGAGACCGGGACAGAATCCGACCTTGAATCAACCTTCATCAAATCTGATTATCATTCTTCTCTTTTCTTCGAACCTTCCCCACCTGCTGAAGATTCTTGGCACCTGTCTGACGAGGAAACTGATTAGTTCTTGCTCTTACTTTCGTAATGGTTTTTTACAAACAACTGATTTGATTTCCCTTCTTGCAACAAATCTACATCAGTCCTTTTAATACACTTTATATTTAAAATTTCTTCCTTGTTGTTTTTCATGCATGTTTTCGTACAAATTTTGTACTCCGAATTTTGTACCTGTGCACCGCACCGCACCGTACCGCACCATACCGCAACGTACCGTACCGTACTGCACCGTACCAATTAAAAGCTTCAGTGCACTACGCTAAAAGCTAGTGTAAAGATCTTTCGAGTGTTTTGAGTTTGAGAGAATGAAAGTTATGAGAGAGATTAGAAAGCTATGAAAACTAATCAACGAGAGAGATCATCATCAAGGGATCGTAGATCTGGCTTCCCGCGGGAGACTAGTGTGTAGAGTAGGTTGTGGTAATAATCCTACGTCTCCAGATCTGAAAACGGAACGCGTGAAGGTTGTCTAGCCTGGATCTTAGTAGCGTGGAAGTACTCCACGCTGGGTAAATATCTAGACGATGTTTCATCTCAA